GTTATTGAATATTATGTTGATTGATGATTATGGTTATGATTATTGATTGATGATTATGATGATTAAATCTTGATAAATGTTCTGATTAAAAATGGAAATTATGAATGATTAAATCATAATGAATATATCGATGATTGTGAAAACAATATGTAATGTTAAGGGTATCTAAAGACCTCTAAGATATACCCGGCCATATTAATGTTGATTTGAAAGGTATCTAGAAGAACTCTAAGATATACCTATATGAGTTAGGCCTTGCGGGTATGATGCCCGGTGGTTAGGGTTAAAACGTACGTACGGGATCCAAGAACTAAACTTGAGTACCTACTCGTTTGGGGTACCACCCACCCTACAGTGAACACTATGCTATCGGTTTTTGGTTGGCCTTAAGTGAAGGTAAATTTAAGATTTCCAAAACCCTTTTATCTTAAACTAGGCCTAGCTTAAGGATTATTAGGAGTACTCTGTATACTGGAATATAGTTTAATTAGTTAAACTAGAATTCATTTAAGGGTTGACAAATATTAAAGTGATTGGCCTTAGACTAAGAATAGTTTAAGGATATTGTTGAATAACAAATGATGAATGTTGTTTGATGATGTTGAATAATAATGTTGAATGATTAAATAATGAATGTTGAAATTTGAATATTTATCATTGAATATCTGAACTGAACGTTACGTGCATGATATCAAATGGTTGATTATGAATTGAGATTCAATTTATGTGGATGTTCAACGCATTAGATATGCTTACTTAGCTTCACCGCTGAGCGTGTAGTATGTTTTATTTGCTACACACAGGTTAATAGACAGAATGATGTGACGTGAACCTAGAGGCAGACAGAGGCGAGATTGTCGGAATGGATGTGGTGTTTTGAATTAAAGAACAAAAATAAGTTATGTTCGTAATTATGATTGTTAAGCTTCCGCAATATTGAAAACTCTGTACTGTTATGATATGAAAAATATAATTGTGATAAATAAAAGTATTTGAAATATTTTAAATTTTACAATTACCAAGTTAATACTTTATTCCGAAAGGGGCTGCAGACCTGGACGGATTAGGGTGTTACACCCCGCCCCAGAGATTCCAATACCTATATAAGGTAGCGTCGTTTGGCCTACAACCATCATCATCAATTCCAATTTTCCTCTCTCTCTAGCAGCGAAATAACTTATAAAATCCATAGTTTTAGTTTATTTTTGGAGTTTCAATTCCAGATCTGTTCCTATTCCACTTTTGGAAGTTGTAAGTTTATTTAATTAATAAAATAAAAATGTTTTTTTATTTAATTTGTGCACCTTTTATTATTAATATGTATTTTTAAATATATTAGGGATGTGAATTATAATTAAAGTAGTAGGAATGTAGGAAAAATAATAATTTTGAAATATTAAATTTAATTAATTAAAATGTTATGTTGCTAGTAATTATTATATGTTCTAAATAATTAATCTAGCTAATTTATTAATTAATCCTTGAAAAATTATTATGTTCATTTGTCTTTGAATGAGAAAAATAATTTAGTCAACCAATTCTAGCACATAAATGATGCCTGAAGATATGATAAAATTAATGGAGTTCTTGTGACAGAATTACCCACAAGCTAAATTAATTAGTTAATTTAATAATTGAACTAGTTAAAATATCTGAAAAATTGCTACTACCTACGATCAATTCATATTCCCTTTTTATCAAACAATCATTTTATTACTTTGTCCAACACATTTTCATGTCCAAATCACAAATATCTTTCGAATTTAGAAGGCTTCCTACACCGATGAGTAAAACTTTTTCTGACTATATTTAAATAGAAAAATTATTTTTTACGCCAATCCACATGAATACGAAACGGGAATAAATGGAACTCTTTTAGAGTAAAATTTATTGTCGTTAAAATCTTTTTGTCACAGTGATGGTCATGCCCATATAAATATGTTATTTGAATCCCACAAGTCAATCAAAAAATCAGTAAACCATCGATTAAACTCTAACAAGGTGACACACCCCATACCTTGTGTTAAATTAAGATATTAGTGAAAAAGGGATAAGAGTTATACAAATGAGATGTGCTATTGTAGGAATTGTCCCGAAACTCATAACTTTCATGTGGAAAGCACTTTACAACTGCCTCCCATTTCCCAGAAATCTCCACAGGTTTAACTTTCATCTTCCAAGCATCTGTATCTTTTGTAAAAGCCACGAGGACACTCTTGACCATTCTCTACTCAGTTGCGAATTCAGTAGAGCAATTTGGAACTTCTTTGCTAGGTTGGCTAATGGCCCCTTAATAAGGTCACCCATTACCCTTCGCCAATACCTTCTGTCATGGTGGTTTACAGGAAATCACAAATCCTTCAAAGGAATCCTCAGGCTGATCATACCAGCGATCATCACTTGGTCTCTTTGGAAAGCAAGGAACACCTCCCTCTATGAAGAGAAACTCATCTCCCAGATCTCGGTTACGCAGTAGAGCTTCCAGCTCATTCAAAGCTGGTGCTGGATTAACAGAAATCGCAAGTGGATTATCTACGATCAGGACTTCCAAGGTTGGGATATGGACCACTTCTGGAGCAAGGGGAAGAATTTAAAATCCTCCCTCCCGTTTAATGTTTAAATTCCCTCTTCTTTTTGTATTTTCTTGGGCTGAATTATGTTGTAATTCTATGTTCTCTCTCCATTAATAAAACTTTCTTTATATATATATATATATATATATATATATATATATATATATATATATTGGAAAAAGATTTTATTAAACAAAAAAGAGAAAGTACAGCCAAGTGGGGGTGGTCCAAAACCCCAAATAAGAGGACCAAAACAAAAGCCAAACAGCCAATAGAAGTAAAGAACAACAACAAAAAAAAGAAAACAACAACGAGCTAAAGTAAACAGACTCCAGCAGCCAGCTAATGTACACCCACTTGTCTTGCTGGCATCAAAGATTGTTGTCTTTCTATTGGAATCCCTGCAATAAAATCTTCCGATTGAGATTAATGGCCTGATAAACTCCAAGTATATCCTGATCTCCATCCTCAAAATGATCTAATTGAGCACATTTGGTCCTTTAATACAGCATCCCAAAGAGTTTGATTTCCATAAGCATCCCACAGTATTGCTATCAAACAATCTGCTGATCCTTCTCAAAACCCCAAGACTTAAAGCTTTCAATCACTAATAAACAGCAAAGAATCTGCTGATCAATCTCCGAACCCAAAACTTGGAGAAGAAAAACCAGGGACTTTGAAGGTGAAATCCTGTTGACATCTTTGCAACAAAAAGCTCTAGAGACACTAAATGAGAGTGTTGGATAAAAAAAACCCCCATACTAGAGAATAAAAAGATTATAGGAAACCGTCTTGAAAATCATCCCAGTTCTGATCAACCACTTTAGCAAGCTTAGCCTTCTTTTTTGCTTTCCTTTTCTGCTTCGGGTAAGGGGTTGATGGGGGGTTTTAGGAGCAGCCTCCTTCTTAACCGGACAGCTGAGTTTGAAGGCATGAATAATATCATTAGCGAATGAATTATCGAAGTCATCAGATTCATCTAACAAGCCCAGCGGAGTTTTTTTCCTACCTTTTGAAAGAAGCCTCGCTTTACTTCGTGTGACCATTTGAGATGGAGAGAAGGTTTTCCGACCTTTAAACACCCTTCCCAGAAATAATGGTGTCTTAGAGCACCTAGAAATGTCAATTTGGAGGGGTTTAAGTTTATAATCTATAAAGGCTTTCTCCTCTCCGTCCGAGTGTGTAAAGTATAGGCTCTTCTCTTTCTTGTGGCATATCCTCAATAGCATTGTTGGAAAGTGCCATATTCCTTCCATTTATATTTGCCAATGGGTCATCTGAATGCCATATTCCTTCCATGTTGGAACATGACACTATCATTTTATTAAATGACTAACGAAAATAAAAAAAAGAAAGTGAACAAAATTTAACCCTATAAATAAGAACAAAAACATGCACAATATATTTGTGATATGATGATGCTACTCTAAGTTTTAACACAAAAGAAGTGCATTATTATACCCTTATTGAAAATATGGTACATAGATGTTATGGCAAAACTGCAAAGCCACACCACACTAGTAGGAGGAAAGACAATGGGCATTTTAAGAAAATGATACAGTGCACCTTAGTTTTTTCAAAACCTAATACTCCAAAAGATGGATAGAACGGGACCACCCCGACGCAGAACGTCGGGGGACGGGTCCCACCATAAAGGTAGAAAAGAAAACAGGAGGATAAATACGCCCTCCGCACAGAGCAACTTCCACTAACAAAACACTCTTTTTTAACGTATCTCCATAATGTCTATATATAGAAGACGTGGCCGTTGTACCAAACCTTGGCTTCAACTTATTAGCACAAATATGGGGGGGGGGGGGGGGGGGGG